CATTTTACAACTTTTTTTGATATAGTTGTTAAGCGAATCATTGCTACTGTTAAGTTAGCACTCTCATTAGTAAGTACAGGAAAATATATATATATAGTATTCAGCTTTGTTCGGGTATTTTCCCAAATATATATATATTTTCCTGATTCCACTAATGAGAGGGCAGGAGAGTTGGAAAGTAAAGGGGTGGGGACAAGATCAGCATTATAATTTGTGTAGGATATGCAAGGCTTAGAAATGACTGATTCACCATGTTTAGCCCAAGAATTCAGCAAGTGGCACATACTTGTGTCCTGAAAATTAAGATTAATAGCATTTAGCAATAGCATTTAGACTTATATTCTTATATTCCATAAGTGCTTTACAGGTAGTCCTCACCTTATGACCACAATTGAGCCCCAAATTTCAGTCCCAAATTTCAGAGACATTTGTTAAGTGAATTTTACCTCATTTTACAACTTTTTTTGATATAGTTGTTAAGCGAATCATTGCAACTGTTAAGTTAGTAACCTGGTTGTTAAGTAAATCTGGCTTCTCCATTGACTTTGCTTCATCAGGAGGTTGCAAAAAGTGATTGCATGTCTCTGGAAGACTGCAATGGTCATAAGTATGAACCAGTTCCAAGCATCTACCATAGTCAAGGGGATGCTGCAAAGGTCATAACTATGAAAAAATGGTCATATTTTTCAGTACCATTGTAACTTTGAATGGTGACTAAAGGAACTGTTCTAAGTCGAGGACTATCTGGCACTATCCAGCACTTTCTGGGCAGTTTACTATGCAAATATTATTTTCATATTGTCCCCAACAATCTTGGTCCTCATTTTAGTGAACTGTGAAGGATGGAAGGCTGAGTCAACCAAATGCAGATTAATATGCATCTTGGTCATGAATAGGAAATATAGACCTATTAATTCCATTCTCTCATACTGTGAGGGCAACTGGAACATTTCTATCTGTATGGCATCTATTACCTGTTTTCATTCTTTTTTCTTTCCCAACCATGAGAATCAATTCACTTCCTGCATGGCTTCTTTCCAAGTGATTCTCACCAACCCCCATTTCCATTAAATAATGGCCTCTTCCAACATAACACGGTACATTTATATTAAAGCATAATCAGAATAATAATAACAATAATTCAAAAATAACAAATTGTCCCGTGGAAGTTTACAACTATAGTGTTAATCATTGCATACTGAAATAAACAAAGAACAGGTAATCAATGAGAAGTTTCAAAATGAAAAACTTATTCAAAACAGTAATGTTATTTATTCTAATTATATATTTTTGCATCATGCAATCCAAATTTAGCATTTGAAATAGCTTTGGTAAAATACTGAAATCTGAACTGAAAAAAGTAGTTCAATGTGATCTAAGAATATACATACACATGTGTGCACATTACACCACACATGAGTACACACACGTGTGCTTCTGTATATTTGTACAATATTGTAACAAATTATTTAAAGCTGTAAGTTGCCCTAATTGAAAACAGGAACTAATTAAATGTTATTTAGTTTGTAGCTAAGTATATTAATGTAAAATATATTTGTTTCAACTTATTACTTATTCATTACAGAAATTTTAATAGTTGTTTTTAATGGAAAATCAAACTGCAGTAACTATTAAAATAAATAGGGTGGCATTTTAAAAAATGAACAGCTTACAATCACTAGTAAAATAAAAATGGATCCAATTAAAATGTAATCAAAAATGCAAGCCTCTTTGCCAGACAGTTCAAAATAGCTGGTATATGACTATGTAACTTTGCTGGGAGACATCATCTCTAAGAACATTTTATATTCTCATAATTGCAAAATGAAAATAGGTACAATTCCACGTACTAAAAAGAAAAATAGGAACAGTGTTTGCTTCTTTGTAGCTTAAGTTTAATATTGGAATATAAGATTGGTCAACAAATAAGGATAGTTTGAAAACACAGAGTTATGTCAATTACTGTAATATGAAAGGCATTCATTAGTTTGCAGTTTTCTAGCTTATAGTTTGTCTTACTTAAATTCATAAATGTGCAAGACAAGAAATATATTAATTATAATAAAACATTGGTCAAATAGGTTACACGGTTTTACTGCAGGATTGAATTTGACTTGTTTCTAACTTGTTTCAACAAACCAAGATTTAATGTCACTTCTGGAATTTTGCTATAATTTTATTAAATAAATAAAATGTATTCATTGCTTCCCCTGCATACAAATTTGTTTATGTACCATAGGTTAGCTCAAGATGGCAAGAGAACAAGGAAAATAGTCTGTTACTTTATTATTGATCTGGCCTTACTGCTAATGGATTGGCTGATTTGCTTCTACATGACATATATTTATATGTTTTTATATACCTTTACTATCAGAAATTATTATATGGCTTCAATATTAGATGTTAATGGAAATTTTTTTAAAGATAGGCTACCTTAGTAAACTATGCAATTATGTCTGTGAAGCATTTTAAAATGGTTCCAAAACTTCTCTAGTTCTGATATTATTGCAGAAGAAATAACTGGGGAAAATTTTTCATTTATCTGAAGGCCTATAAAGTTGCTTTTTAAAATTGTGCTTCTGCTTATCTTGGTTTTGCTATTTCTATTCTTTGTCCTAATTTCCCTTGAACACCTTTCCTCACAAACCCATTTCTTTCTTGTTGGATCATGACATAGCCCCACAACCTATGGCTAAATCATGTACAATCCTTTATTGACTACATTAGATTATTGACAAAATCATGAACACCTTGTAACTTCTAACCTCACCAGTATGTAAATAATATGAACATAGTCACAACTGTGATCTAAGTGGCATGTTATTTAAATATGGGGGAACACAATGTCAAGATAATAGGGGTAATTAGCCATCATTGTGTGTGTGTGTGCTTGAGTGTGTTTACTTTTGTGGGACAGGAAGGCTGCAGAATCCAGGAGTATAGCAGTGACAAGTGATTCCCACCCACCCCAGATACAATAAAACTGATATTTTTTCCACTTTTTTTCCACTTTTTTAAAAAAAACAAATGCAAGTACACCTCCACCTTTTCTTTCCCGCTGAAATTTGGAATGAAACCATGCCACCAATATTCAGTTATATTTGGGTTATATCTCCTTACAAAAGCTAGCACATTAAGGAAAACAAAATGGGTTGGGGGGTTGTGTCCATGCAGTCTATGGGTTGTTCAGCTCTGTTTCACATATAAGGATAGAATACCATCTTAGGTGTAGGCGCTAACTAAAAAGACCAAATAAATGATTTGAATGGGGATGCATGTCGGAGCCTTGACAGTAGGAGTGATCTTGGGGAGTGAGGGGGAGAGATGCTGTCTAAGAAACAATTGGAGAAGCTTCCAATCAAACAATTAATCAGAATAGAGTTTGAAGGGACCTTCAGAATCTTCTAGTCCAACCCCCTGCTCAAGCCATTAGACAAATGGTTGTCCAGTCTCTTCTTAAAAACCTCCAGTGATGAAACCCCTACAACTTCTGAAGGAAAGTTGTTCCACTGGTTAATTGTTCTCACTGTTAGGAGAAACTTCCTAATTCCGGGTTGCTTCTTTTCTTGATTAATATCCATCAATTGTTTCCTGTCCTGCTTAATGGTCAGAGAAAGAAACAGAAAGGACCTTCTCCTAATAGATCAAGCAGTTAAAAATTGTGGCAGAAAGTTTTGTACTTTCAGAACTGCAAGTTTCTGTTAATGTAGCCTTACAATCAAATAGATTTAACATATTTAGTTGTGCTTCCTATCTGATTTAGGTAAATTGTGATGGATACAATTTACCTAGAAGTATAATATGAACTGAAAGAAATATTAAGAGTAGAATATGAATTTGAACTGAGCAGAATATATTCTGGGGTTTATGGAATGCATGACAAACCTGTGACCTTGGGTTGGATCATCCTTTGAGACTAAGTCTGATTTGACCAGAATAAATATTACATTTTAAGCTGATCATATTATTTATTTTTTATTATTAAATCTATTTGTTGCCCATCTCAAAGTTTGAGGCAACTCCTTTGTCCCCAATGTTGGTTGGTCCAATGATCATCTATGGAACATCTTGCCTCCCGATGTGAGGTTGGCCCCAACTCTCCTGTCTTTTGAGAAGCGCCTAAAGATGTGGCCGTGCCAGTCAGCTTGGAGCCCAGTGGAGGATCAGTGTAATGGAGGTGGTTGATTGAGTAATAACAGGTCCTACCTCCCCTGCCACTCCACCCTCCCCCTTCCCATGTGATTTTGTTTTAAGCT